CCCCCCCCCCCCCCCCCTCCCATAATGCACCTGGAGAGGCTCTTCAGGCTCAGCCTCCTCAGGTCAGAGCGGCCCCCACGCAGCACTCAGGAATGAGTCACCCACAGATAATTGCGTAATTGCTGGTCGGATGACAGAGGAGGTCGAACACCCTTTCAACGTTTGGGTGGACGAATCAGAGTTATTTTAAAACTTTGGGGAAGTAGCAAAGACATAAAAAAATAGGTTGAAAAAGGATACTTTAAAAAAAAAAGTAATCCAGACATAGAGGCCTGCCTTTAACAGATGTTCACAACAGATGTTCTCTTAACTCATTGGCTGCCAAAGACGTCTGTAGACGTCTTTTATGTTTTTCAACGAGAGTGGCTGGGGGACGATCTGCTAAAGCTTGTCCGTAAATATCAGGCTTCTAGACAGAGTATGTAGTAACAAATTGACCCTCTAGGTGGCAGTGCCACTTTTGATGGGAGATGAGCATAGACTGTAGGCAAATAAGAAAAAGGTAACGGTTCGCTATGAGAGAACATGTCGCCGGTGAGACGCAAGTCGAGGAAGAACGGAATAAGGTAGAAACAAATTTTTTTTCCTAATGAAAGAAGAGAGTCTACTCTTTCTTTTGGTGTGTTCGGTGTTTACATAGTCATAGCAGAAACTATTCTGTGGCTCTTGAAAAATCAGTCAAAATGCTCAAAAAACTCTTGCAGTATGGGACTCTCTGTTCTGAAAATGGCTGCCAGTCAATGAGTTAAGTGGAATGGGTGGAACGTGGAGAAGAAAAATCTTTGGATCCGACTGGAAAAAGATCGGCCAAATTTTTGGGACGGAGAAAAATCTGCTGGGACCCAGTTTGACATTTGCAGCCAACTGGCAGCGAGTGTCGTTTCCAAAGCCTGATCCAAGAAAAACAGGAAGAATATTAGACTTTTTTAGTCTGAAGTCTTTCTTTGGCCCCTCAACAACATATAAAGAAAAAAAAACATAAATTATTTTGACCAAATTAGCGTGCAATAAGTCAAAAACATATTTTGGTGTAGTCTTCTACTGGCTGTTATCAGGTATATCTGAATGTGTACAACAGGGGTTTGAGCAAAGCTTTTACCACTGAATGATGCAAAAAGTCCCAGATCCAAAAGACTTCAGAAACCATATCAAATATAACACATTTGGCATTATAGGGTTAAACCACGATGACTTTAATACATTCTCCTACTAGTCCAGTGTTTGAGTGTGAGTGTCTGAGTGGCTTTGAGGATGGTGGCAGCAAACCCAGGAGAGCACAGATAATAATAAGGAGCCATTAATTAACCCGCCCATTTCCGTAGATATCCCATCATCCCATTTGGTTTGGTTCGGGGTCGTTCTTTTACGAGCTGGTCCCTTCCTGACTTCTGTTTTTTTTTTTTGTGCGAACGTGTGTTGGGTGTTGAGATGCCCGAGTGTA